TACTCAAGAGCAAAAAGATAGCTTTCAAGAAATGAGAACGTGGGGATCATAACCTGTCCACAATTTGTAAATTTTATTGTGTTTCCTGTCATTGGACTAGACAAAGGACTAAGTTGTTCATGGCTGGCTGACTGACAACATATTGCTGGGCTTCTACTATGTATCATCCATGGACATACAGAAGGAACAGTTGTTGCATGTTGTTTCAATCATGATCTATACCGCTGTTTTCAGTCGTGATACATACTTAAAATAAAACTTAGACTGTGTTGACCATGTGTTCTGTTATATTTGGAGGCACGGGTGGACGAGATGTCTAATGCCTCGGTCACATATACACAGATGCCGGGAAAGATTAATTTACGATGCCCGAAAAGACTAAAAATCAGCAACATTGAGAGATACCCGACGGGGCGCCGGACACGTATTATATATTGGGCTGAATGGGATGAGCAGCATGGAATGTCTATAGGGATGCCTGTCCCTCCACACACACTGTCCTTCTGTCTCTTCCTCCCCGTTGTGCCCTTCTTCGCAGCAGCTCCCTTTGCCTTTCCACTCTTCATCTCCGAAGTTTCATATTCCACAAATTTACAAAATCAACTGAAATGTGATACAGCACTTGCAACAATTTCGAAAGCGAACTCTTTTTCCAAAACCCTTGGGATCCTGGCTGAAGGGGTATCTACCGATCATCTTTGGTTTCATTACTGCACCGAAGTGTCACAGAGGTGGGCAAAAATCTGTAGCACGCCGGGGCATCGGTGAAACCCACCGCCCACATCATCCGGCGACTGTTGTATTTTTGACTGAGGCATAAGACATCGCAATTTGCTGTGCTGAGCTGTCGTCAGGCGTCCCAGAAAACTATGACTGTAGATTGGAATATCACTTAGCCCTGCTTATGTTTTTTGGCTTGTCAGCACCATACTATTGCAGCGCTTTCACGCACACTCGCTTGCTCACTCACTCACTTAACCACTCAAAAACTTAACAACTCATAACTCACTCCCTCACTCAACCGCTCACTCAACCGCTCACTCAACTACTCACTCACTCACTCACTCAACCACTCACTTAACCAAATAGCCAAGCAGCATTACATGATAAATGCCCTGGACCCATCAGCCGTCAAAGCTTCCTTTTGAAAATGACGCACCAGCTCCATCTCTCTTACCACTAACTTTGCACAGATTTTCTAGGGCTCATGTGTATGAATTCAACACTCATAAGGACGAGAGTTTGGTTTGGAGCCACATTGAAAACCGGTGCCTCGTAGGACCGAGCCCTCTTCACATAATATAGAATCGGTAGATTGATTTTAGATATGTAATAACACGTTGTAATTTGACACCGGGCTCACAAACGAAGCTGTTGTGGTAAATAAGTCAAGGGTGGAGAAGGATGGAGATCAAATACACTGAATAATCGAGGATGGGTGAGGGCTTGAAGTGGAGAGTATGTGGGTAGAGATGCCAATAGCAAAGGCATGAGGCCCCCAGGGGGAAATCGTGTTTGGCTATTTACATCCAGGTCAGAATATCAAGATACAGAGTTACAGAGCAGGGATAACAGAGAAAACTTGTCCCCATTGCACACACTATGAACTAAGTTGAAAAGCGCTGAGGAAGGAGGGTCTTCGCTTCTTTAAAAAAAAAAAGAATTAACGGAACAATTTTCGAACTCAGACTTGACAAATATCTCCTAGATAGGAAAGTAAACTGACAGGAATGTGACTTGAGTAGTTTCTGAGAAAATTTGTCCCCATTTCACCCGGTATGCAAGTCGAACAGCATGGAGCAAGGGGCATCACTCTGTAAGACATCAATTTTCGAACTCTTTTAAGATCATAACCAGTAAGATTAGTGTGTAAATTTCATTTGTTTAACTTAAATAGTTTTTGAATGTTTTTGTCCCCATTGACGAACTCCGTCCCTATATCCCCTGTCCTACTTCCTGGCTGAGGATAACAAAGCTGGATGTTTGTTTGTTTGTTGTTTAACGCCGCACTCCAGCAATATTCCAGCTATATGACAGTAATTAATCGAGTCTAGACCAGTAACATAGCTGGAAAGCTTCCCACTCAAGTCATGTTAGAGCTATTCAAGATCTTACATGTAGCCAGTCAATGTCAACATGACATCGGACTTAAATCATTTTTGAGAATAGTTGTCCTCTTTCAGAAGCGGACACTAGTCACAAGTGGTGGAATACCACTTTCAGTCAGCAAGCAAGCTTCCCACTCACGACTGAGGTCAAGAAAGACATCTATTCATTGTAGCCAGTCAATGTCGACATGACTCAAGTGTCTGGGATGGCCTGAACACACACCAGGTCCTCATAATACCATCGAATACCTTACTTCTACTACATCATAGCCATATATTCCTGTTTGGGCTGTTATCACACAATGAAATCTTCACTGCCAACCATCTAATAAGTTTTGAGGTAAACCCTATCCTCAGGCTATTGCTACTGTTACGTTCAAGGCAGGAAAACATCACTTCTTTCCTGTGTGTGCTGATGTCAACACAGAATCTATTTTTATCACTATCCGCACAAAGTTACTGTTACACGAGAAAGTCGGTCATGGGCATACAGCTTGGGAGGATAGACGACTTCAATTGAATACCGTTACTCTGCACGCAGCATACACACACCGAGCTACAGGTCGACAGGCACACAAAGAACACCCACACCATCAATAAGAAATATTTCATCAATTTGTCCTCTGCGAATTGACGTAGACCAATAATATTCCACTAATTCAATCTGTAGATGCTTATGTGTGTTCTTTGGATTTCGTGATAAATTCAGGTTATACAATTTTTTAAAGCGCTAAATTAGGTTTTAAAAGCATATTTTGGTAAGAAATGACAGACATATTGTAAGCAACGACCGAACCAAATGTGCATGATCGTGTTTCTGGACATTTTAACACGTGAATGAGTCACGTGACACTCCTGCTACTCTTCTCGAAAGTTATATTTAAGCAAGGTGCTTATCTGGAGTGTTTTGTATATATTTCCCAACAAGAGTCAATTTTTCTCAACCTTTTCGGTTAAATATATTTCTCTCCCGATCAAAACGAGTAAAAGTGAAACGAGTCGCAATCATGTGCGCTGTAACGACTGATAACAGGTCACCAGCAGTAGCCATTCATCATGGTGTGCAATCTCCCTCTACACCGCCTGGTTGGATCAAGGAAGTGAAGGTAAGTTGACATGCGGGTGATATTTTCCAAAGTTTATGTACACTACAAGGCAAACAATGATCACAGTGCCCGAGTTAAGCGACGTCGTTACTCAGTAATGTATCCACAGGCTGTGAAGTAATAGTCAGGTGATGATTCAGTCGTGGTGATGTATTAAGCGTTCGTGCCCTTGCCACCCTGTGTTGCCAAGTCTACTTTCGTTATGTACATGCGACTGATCTCACGAACTTTTGTCTGTTAATGATACACTGATTCCAGAGGGTGTAGTATGTCTGTCATATCTATATGTCGTGCGGTTTTAAGACAGTAAGTATGTATAATGGCTGTAGTTGTGTTGCATAGTTTGGCTGAGGGCTATTGATAATGTTCAGCTAGCCTACTTTTGTTATGAAAATGAGAGCCGATATCTAGGTCAGTGCATATAACACGCGACAATAAATGTCCGTGTACCTGTTATAGCGTTTGTGTGCTGGAGATATAACAACAGAATATATTCAGTCCTTGGATTAATGCATCTAGCAAATTCCTTGTCTTAACCTGTTGAAAATATGAGTTGGATACACAGGTGCGACGGCGTCTACATCAGCAAAGTGTCAACTGTGGTTGCTGGTGAAAACGTTTGGGTGTTTTTATGTGGAGTATTTTCACAAATTTGAAATGACAATTGACTCTCATTTAAGATATGATGTCTCTCTATCTGTTGGTAGATGGCGACGTCCAAGAAACTGGAAGAACATTTTCTCACATGCACTATATGCACAGAGGTGTTTGACAATCCATGCACCCTTGTGTGTTATCACACCTTCTGTCGGAAATGTGTCGTCAACTACACCCAAAACAAGACCAGAAGCCATCAGTGCCAAGTCTCTCCTGTGTCCATTCTGCAGCAAAATGACGAAAGTGTCTTCCCCTGAGAAAGCAGTGGGGGAGTGGGCAGATGACGTCAAGCCAAGCTTTGTCATCCAGGGACTCTTGGATTCATTTGGCCCCGGATCTAAAGGTAGATACAAACTGCATTGTGTCAACAGTTTGCCCACATCTATGTCCCAAATGTTATTCTCCCATTCCCATTGCACTCTGTGTTATTTCATTTGTTTCAAATACTGTAGAAGTAATAGAAACTGGACGAATACAATCAATACTCAATCCGGTTTCGTAACAATTGTTTCGCTTTAGTCGCTGTATGAAGTTTGTATTCATCCAAATACGACATGGAGATACAATTGCCTTTGTACAAGTAAGACGTTACAGACAAAAGGGATTATTTAAAAAACCCTTATATTACAGACAAAACGCTCCTTGTGACCATTATATACATATACTTGTATCTGTTGACAGGTGTAGCATTATTGTGTGATTTTATGATAGTGTGAAATATGTTTTATGATCCAAAACTAGCTCCCGCGGGAGATATGGCTCGGGTGAGATCAAGCGATAGCTACAATTCTTTACAGACCATTGTGACGTTATTGGTTACCATGACGCCACAATCAAATGATATCATTAATGGCACTGCTACTGAAGCTGTTAGCAGTACTATTTTACACTTAGGACACTGCTTATTACTGTTGTCTACAAATTGAAAATGTCTCAACTCGTGTTGATATATTTGATATTAAAAGACACTCGGGTGAGATTCTATAAAAACAAATAATATGTATTAATAACACTAAATATATCACCTTCACTCAGTACAACTTCATGTATACACAGAGATATACCAATACACTCTCAGTGGTACATTGCCAACTGTCTTTTTATCAACCTTAAAACTTATTTTGTTCAGATACGAAAAATTGCACGTGCTGTCAACGCGAAGGGGAGACAACTCCATCCTCTGTGTGGTGCTCTATATGCGATGACGCACTACCATCAGGAAACGAAAAGTCATGTGTAATGATCACAAGGATGAATGCATCAAATTCCTGTGCAAAGATTGCAAGAAAGTCACCTGTCACACCTGTTGTGTTATCTATCACAGGAAATGTTACTCAGTTGTCACTCTAGAGTCGGAATTACCTGCTTTAAAATCACAACTGTTGAATGAAAAGAAAATATCCTGAAGAAACAAATCCAAATGAAAGTAAAAGTTGATACAGTTAAGTCGAATGTGATCTCTGAAAAAAGATTGGTATGCCCAAATGGAATCAGATATCAAGTCTTCCGGTAATAAAGCGAGAGAGAAGATCACTTTCAAGGAAAACAAACTCCTAGATGAACTGAAAGAAGTCTCAGAAAAGCACATTGGACAACTGACAGCCGACATTAAGTCAGGGGAAATATCAGTACAGATGTACCGACAACAGGTTAAACTGATAGACCAAACTCAACAATCTGAGTTTGACATGGATGTGTATGAGATGTATCAGGGATGTGAGGTCGGTGATGTGGATGCTGTCGGAGACGCAGACCTGAAGGATGATGGGAGAATAGCCAAGATCATGTTCAGACAGGACACGGATCAGCTGAGTAGAGCACTGGACGATCTACAACTGGGTGAGATAGACGTCCTGTATGAGGGTGTGCTTGACCTGAAGGCGACTCCTGTGTTACATGACACCATTAACATCAGAGTTGCAGGAGATGGAAATGCTGCACGGCCCATTGATGTGACGACTCTGGTGGTGAATGGCACAGACACAGTGGTAGTCACAGACTGCAAGAACAAGAGTGTGAAGTCCTTCTTCACCAAGACAAAACAGCCAGGTCATAGCAAGCTCAGTCTGAGTAGCCGTCCGTATGGTATAACAAAGTTGAAACACAACCAGGTGGCGGTCACTCTGCCAGATACCAGTCAGATTGTAACAGTTGAAGTCAACCCTGACCTGGTGCTGCTGTCAACCATCACAACCAACAAACAGTACTTGGGCTTAACGTCTCCGACACAATCAACACTCGCAGCAAGCGTCCGGTCTCCCCCCAGTGTGGATATTTTGGATATGACGGGACACATGCTGAGATCAGTCAAGCCAGTCCATAGTGGAAAGAACATCCTACAAAATCCCCGCTTTCTTTGTACCACCAGAACAGGAAACATCTTTGTTTCGGACTGCAGGTCCAGGTGTGTCCTGTGCCTGACACCTGCAGGGGACGTTGTGTTCACCTACCCCCCGACAGGAGACACAACACTGACACTTCCGTGGGGCATCACAAGTACCAGCACAGGCGACATCCTGGTTGCTGACTCCTCCCAACATAGTGTTGTTCATCTGACTGAGTCGGGACAGTTTGTTAGAAACTTCCTTACTGCAGATGACGGTGTCTTGAACCCGCGCGGAAATTGTGTAGATGGACGTGGTCATGTGTATGTTTGTAAATGCACCTTAGGTGAAATCAAAGTATTCAGTTGTAGTAACACAGTATAGACCACTGATTCATTATCAACTGGACAGTCCATCTAAAGTTACTTTAACTACCTACAATTACCACCGACTCCAAACTCCCTGTGTCACGTTTTGTGTGGCTGAGTATAACTAATATATGGTGTTACTATGCATACTCAACTGATCATTCCATCTACCTCCATTTACCACCAACCTGCAGATTGACTGACGTGGTGTAGACAGATCATCAGCTCAGTGTTGACTTCGGCCCATGTGACCAGTGTCCGATCTTCCCTGTGTCATATTTTGTGTGACTAATTATAGCTAATATATAGTGAAAAACTGAGTATAAATTGTATGCCCTTTGCACTTTCTGAAATGTGTGCAAATCAGCAAAAAAACTAAATTTTATTCTTATATAACTGAGATAAAAAATATAGGGTCATTTTGTAATTTGTATCAGTGAATATCACCTTTAACTTTAACGTTGAATTTACGTTCGATTGATGTGTACATATAATCATTGCACTACATTGTAAATGTTCATATAGTGTGACGGAGTATACCTAATATACAGTGTGGCTAGATATAACTAATATACAGTGTGACTGAATATAACTAATGTACAGTGTGACTAACTAAAACTAATATACAGTAGGACTCAATATAATTTATATACAGCGTGACTGAATATAACTAATATAAAGTGTGACTGAATATAAAAAATATAAAGTGTGACTCAATATAACTAACATTCAGTCTGACTCAATATAACTAATATATAGTGTAACTGAGTATAAACTGTATGCCTTTTGCACTTGCTGACAATACCAGGTTTTATTGTTGTCAACATCGTAGATGTAGCAGGGCTAGATCAATATAGGGTCACGTATTTGTATCAATGCATATCACCCTTAACTTTAGCTCAGAATTTATGTTAGATTTATGTGAACATAGTATCATCACAAACTGCTTCCAATCTACATCTTTCCAACAAATACGGATCAAGCACCCCCTGAGATGCATGATGCAATTCTTATTATGGAGTGTGACATGTGTCTGTGCGTAGTTAACTTTATTTCCAATTCCTTATTTCACGGTCTGTAATCTTTTAGTTTAGAAATATTCTACTACGTTTGAAACCAAGAGGTGAAATTATTCCTGGTAACCGTTGGCTGAAGGCAAAATAAATGTTATGAGAGGCATGAAAACTACTTGGATTTGTCTATTTATACCTGTTGTTTATGTGGATGAAATGATATTTTGAGCAGCTTGAAAGAAAAATCCAATTCCATGCAGGTGACACACTTCTTTCAATCTTGTTCAGGAGTAACAGACTTTTGTGTGTGCATATGAATCCCTCAAGATATCAAGGAATTGAAGATCGGTGTTCAGTTTGATATAAAGTTTCGTACTTCATCTCAATCACAAACTGCTTCCAATCTACATGTTTCCACGTACACAGATCAAGCACCCCTGAGGGCTATTTTAAATAGTTGATGCATGATGCACTTCTTATTATAGAGTGTGTAGTTCAAATTTCTTATTTCCCGATCCGTAGTCTTTCAGTTAAGAAATATTCTACTACGTTCGAGGCCAAGAGGTACCCCACATGGGCCCGGATGTCGGAGACTCGATCCTCTGTCGCGTCATACTAAAAGACGTAAACAGATGGTTCGTGTTGTTACCCTGCCTGGCCCTCGGCAATAAGGGTCTCAAACAAGGAATGGTCGGCTGGGTCGGTATATTGTGGTGTATTAGTGTTAAACTGTGGCATGGTATCTCAGTGGGCTAGGCTATAAAATCGGCATTAGTCCGGGAGCTGCGACACACACGCACGCACGCACGCACGCACGCACGCACGCACGCACGCACGCACGCACGCACTCACTCACTCATACACGCACACACACACACAAATGCACGCAAACACGCACACGAACACACAGGCACACACGCATGCGCACACACACACAAATCCACGCAAGCACGCACACACACACAGGCACACACGCATGCTCACCCACACACAAATCCACGCAAGCACGCACGCACACATGCGCACACACATACACACACAGAGGCACACACTACGCGCACACACACAGACACACACACACACACTTTAGACAGTGATAATGTCTGAATATATATTCAGTTCTAACAAGCGACAGATGTCTGGTCATCAAACTGAAGGAATAGTATTCATCTTGAGATTATTAGACCCTGCAATGCATCTCTTTTTGGAACTTTATGGAGCTTTGGAATCTGGTGCCAAAACGGAATGGAGGTGTCTTCAGGTGTTAGAGTCAAGTCAGAAGTTGACAATACTGATGCTGGTTTTGGCAGATTTCTGCCCCAGTTAACAAACTAATATATCCTGTTCCCAGTGGGGATTCCGGGTTATATTTACACGATTAAATGGATCGGGTGGTGAGACTTGGTCCTTCACGAGTTTGTCTACATCACGTTTCCTTCGTTACTCCTGGAGGATTCTGGGGTAGCTGAGGTCCCCAGCAATCTAAGCTGATAGTTACAGACGACTCAATGGATGAGGTGAGTGAGGCTAAATGGGGTTAAACGTCGCGTCAGAGATTATTGCACTTGCATGGACGTGTGCGTGTGGCCGCTTGTACTAAATGTAGTCCGAACTAATGCCGACTTTATAGTTTTAGTCCACTGAGTTACCATGCCGCAATTTAATATGTATAGCCCACTCAGACACAGTTTATTGACTCCGAGCCAACCAGTCCTATTTACCACTAAACCACGGAAGCAGTCTGGCGTCTTACTGAATTGAATGGACAGGCTCGATGATCTGTTTAAGTACGTGACATCGTACACCGACGGCGGGGCACATTGCACATAACATCAGTCACTGGATTGACTGGACAGACTCGATGATCTGTTTAAGTACGTGACATCGTACACCGACGGCGGGACACATTGCTCATAACATCAGTCATTGGATTGACTGGACAGACTCGATGATCTGTTTAAGTACGTGACATCGAACACCGACGACCGGACACATTTCTCATATTACCAGTCACTGTATTGACTGGACAGACTCGATGATCTGTTTAAGTACGTGACATCGTACACCGACGGCGGGGCACATTGCTCATAACATCAGTCACTGGATTGACTGGACAGACTCGATGATCTGTTTAAGTACGTAACATCGTACACCGACGGCGGGGCACATTGCTCATAACATCAGTCACTGGATTGACTGGACAGACTCGATGATCTGTTTAAGTACGTAACATCGTACACCGACGGCGGGGCACATTGCTCATAACATCAGTCACTGGATTGACTGGACAGACTCGATGATCTGTTTAAGTACGTAACATCGTACACCGACGGCGGGACACATTGCTCATAACATCAGTCACTGGATTGTCTGGACCAGACTCGATTATTTACAGGATGCTACGTCACTGCTGGAATATTGCTGAATATGGACGTAAAGAACAAACAAACCAAAGTAAATCATGGTCGGCAAATAAAAAAGGAAAGTGTTCTTGTCCCAGCAACAAGCTTGGTCTTCGTGGTCTTACTAAAGAGCGAGTGAGTATTGAGAGCTTGGCTATAGTTTATCATTTTGCATCATACACCGAGACCAAAGCATGTAACATTATTTCTTATCATTCCCTTCACAAACTCAATATCTCTGTATATCCTACCATTCTTAGATTGGATTCTGCGCCGTTTCTTTCTTTGTTTTGAGAATGAATGAACGAATGAATGAATGAATCAGTCAATATTGTTTTCCGCCGCATCAGCAATGTTCCAGCTTTTCATGGCGACTGTTTCGAAGAATGGATGAATGAATATTGTTTTACGCCGTACCAGCAATTTCCAAGCTGTTAATGGCGACTGTTTCGAAAAATGAATGAATGAATGCATATTGTTTTACGCCGTACCAGCAATTTCCCAGCTGTTCATGGCGACTGTTTCGAAGAATGAGTGAATGGATAGTGTTTTACGCCGCATCAACAATTTCCCAGCTGTTTCAGCAAAACGTCAAGTTTTGAAACCATTACATTATATCTGTCCTCGTGTGTATGTAGATATGTATTGAATGCCACAGGACAGGCCCAACCTTGTCTTTCACACAGGGCTCTGAACGAAGTCTCCGAGCGACTTGGTCGGCAAGCTGACGTAGGATGCGGTCACTGACGCCGACTAACTTTGGGAAACTACATCTTAGGCATCACACGACTGTCATGTGATAGTCTTACTATCATTGTCTTATCTCAGCCTTGGGGATAAAATGATAAAACAATTCTGTGTTGTCATGGCGATGATGATACCATAACGTCGGCGTCAGTATTCCTCTCCATACAGAGTCATTAGAGAAAAGATAACCTTCAAGGCTTGGTATTGCTTGGTTTGTGTGGTTTAACGCCGCACTCTGCAATATTCCAGCTATATGACGGAGGTCTGTAAATAATCGAGTCTGGACCAGACAATCCACTTATTGACATCATGAGCATCGATCTACTAAACTGGAATACGATGAGATGCTTCAACCAAGTCAGGGACCCTGACCACCCGATCCCGTTAGTCGCCTCTTACGACAAGCATAGTCGCCTGTTACGGCAACCGAGATCTTCATTTGTTGTATTGCTTGGTATCAATACTGTTTGGGCCGATACATTAAAACAGCCCCTACTGTGATGCAGGACGAACGTGTTTCTTAGGAGTTTTTCTTTGCCAGTGATCGTGGAGTCTCTGCTCTTGTGGACGGCGGAGGTGGTAGTGTTGGTTTCAACTGGGTCAGTGTATGCGCTGTCGTGGCGCTGGCAGCGCGATATGGGAGGAAAGTACAAAAGTATGCAGACCCTGGACGTGGTGAAAGCCACGAGCACGGATGTGGCGCTAACAAACCACGTAACATATTCAGGGCGAATCTGGTGTTCGAATCCACGATCACATGTTTCTTCACAGCAGATGCGCACCTTACCTTTCCTTTGACATCCGTGAACCACACAAACGAAAAAGGAACAACGTTGTTTAGTTGTTTATTTCAAATCAGTCATAATAATATTGGCTTCAGTATTTGCAAACATATCACGTATCATTTGAGAGAGTGAGTGAGAGAGTATATTTTACGCCGCTTTTACTAATATTCCAGCAATGTCACGAAAGGGGACACCAGAAATGGGGCGTTATATTTGAAAACAATGACACAAAAATGGTTTGCACAGTTCGTAGTAAATGTGAATAATACAGCATCAGATATCCGCCGACATGTGTGGTTTCACAATGTTGGATAGTACTGGTGTTGAGTACGTGTCAGAATCATCGTGACACAGAAACAAAGATTACTGCTTGGCAAATGATGACATTACACCCTGAAAAGCATGCGTCCGAAAGTTTTGACATAAACAAAATGAAGAGACCGTGATAACCTGGTATATATGACAAAGTATCACAATCAAACACATAACATACTGAATACTGAGTATTAACCATCAACTTATTTGTAATTAGAAGTGCCATAAGCTGTATTCTTAAGTTTAACTGAAATTAATGAAATAAGTTATTCAGGTTTCTGGATCTATGAATATACGTTCAGGAGCCACGCAGAAGAATAGTCACGTGGTTTAATCTTGAAGATTCAAATGTGTCGGAGTATTTATATATCTGATAAGTAACAAGATATATAAGATTGTCTGTTTAAGTCAGTGAGTGAGTAAGGTTTTACACCATTACCCAATATTCCAGCAATATCACGGCGGGGGACACCAGAAATTGGCTTCACACATTGTACCCATATAGGGAATAGAACCCGGGCCTTCGGTATTGCGAGCGAAAGCTTTAACCACTAAGCTGTTCCACCGCCCCTGTCTGTTTAAGGCTGACAGTTGGTTTGAATATACAGTCGAATACCATTGTGTCGAAGTTGAAGAAGTTACAATCGTAAAATGTGAATAAATAAGGAATAGGTTTTACGTCGATACTTCAATGTTGGACACAACGGTGTTTGACTGTATGTAATATGTAGCAGAGAGGAACTTGTAAACTTACATTTACATACAAGGCTCCTCTGATCATTAGGGCTGGGTCAAAGGACAAACTGTGCAATCCAATACATATACCTATACACATACATGTACCTTGCTCGCGATCTGATATGTATCATGATACTTGCATGTGTGTTTATCTGTTGTGTGTAATAGGGTTTGAACAAGTCCAA